ACGTTAAACAAAAACGCTTGATGGGAGGTAACCCATTTCGTTATTATTTTCATTTCATTTTCATTTTATTTCGTTTTATTTTTATTTTATTTTTTTAGTGAACTTTATTTCATTCTATTTATTTTATTTTGATTTATTTTATTTTATTTTTTCTCTGAACAGATCTGAATTTCGATCGAATATTTAATGAAAAAGTAGTGCAAAAAAATTGACTTGGTTCGAACTGTACAGAAAAATACACAGCAAATTCGAACAATACAGTGCAGAAAAAAATAGATTTGGTTCGAACTGTTCAAAAAAGTTTGAACAAAACAGTACAGTATCAAACATTATACTCTACAACAGCTCATCTCGAAGTGGCCGTGGTCGCCACTAGATTGGTGAGCATTCTTTTTCCCTCTCTTTGTTTTTAAATTTGATATACGTTTTGGGACAAAACGGGATAAGTGAGGGGGAAGGATAATCATGTGTCAAATTTTTCTTGACTTGTTTAATTGTTTGAAATTGAGTCATTCTGATGTTGATATGATGGGATCGTTGGTTGCTAGTCTTGAATTTTGCTTTATACTCTTGCTTCCTTTTGGATTATGACCATGTTTTTTATCGAATTTAATTTGCATGATTGGTGATTGATATAGCCGGTGAATTTTTTGTTGAGTATTGATATTTCATGTTTTTGTCGATAGAGATGAACTTGGCTCAATGCATATAATTTTTTCTTGTGAGATTTGAACCTAACGAGCATACATTTTCTTTCTTGCTCATTGTTTGACTTGTGTGTGTCAAACTAATTAGGATATTCTAGAACTTGTAATCACAATGCATATCGAGACTACATGTTTAACGTAATGTTTTAATATGATAGGAGCACCTAGGATAAACCCACTTTTCCCAAAAGCCTACCCGTTTATATATCCACTGGTGAATCACATTTGAGTCTATTTCCCTTTCTTTGTTTTACACCTCATAATTAAACCCGAAGCCTTTCTTTTTATTTTTCATCTCTTTTCAGACTTGAGATCTTGTATCATTGTTGTTCCATGAAAAAAAGTTGTTCATTGTTTCGAACAGCAAAAAAAAGAATAAGAAGAAGAAAACCCTTTGTTCGGAAGAAAAATTAAAAAAGGGGAAGGAAAAATCGACCGCTTCAATTGTCTTTCATCTTTTCTTTTTCCTTATTTTGTTCTTCATTGCGCTTCATGTTAATTCGTGGATTGTTTTTAATTATTATGATCTCTTGTTTCAGTATTTTAAACCTTTCTTTTTGGCCTTTTCCTTACCCTAACCTAAGCTCATTACACCTTGTTTAAAGACCCCTTGATTATTGCATTATGTTCATTTTTTGTAGTGGGGACTTGATTGGATTTCAAGCCTATGGTAATATTTTGGTTAGTTTCGGTTTGAGCGATTTCATTTACCCCAAACACTTTGAGCGGATATGTGTGAATCTTTGTGAGATTTTGAGTCATGTCTCATTTAAGTTGGCAATTAATTTTGATATCTTGCTTACTTTAAATTTTCTTGGTTGTATCTTTGCTTGATTGTAACTTGAATTTGGCAAATGTCATGGACTTAATTAGATTGGAAGTTTGAGGAATAAATTGAAATTGAAGATGACAACTTATGATTTGATATGTTAATTGAGGTATGCTTGAGGATAAGCATTCAATAAATGAGAGGGAATTTGATAAATGCTTATTTTAGTTAATATTTTACTTTTAAATTACTCTTTAATCATTGATTTTTGTGGCTTATTTATTTATTTTAATTCATTTTCTGTACAGGATGTAAGATTCTGGAAATTGCACAAAAAGGACACAATTCTGCAGTTTTTTATTTTCAAAATCAAAGCTGGTTGGAATTCGAATTTGAATTAAACTCAAGTTTAGGATAATATTTAAACATTATATTTTATCTTTGTATTTTAGTTTAAATAGGTTTTTAGTATTTTAATTAAGTTTTAGGATATTATTTTTATATTTTTCTTTGTTTTAGGTATTTTAGTTGAAATAGGTTTTAATATTTTAATTAGGATTTAGAATATTATATTATTTTTTTAGGTATTTTAGTTTAAATAGTTTTAAGTGTTTTAATTAGGATTTAAAATGTTTTAGCTTGTTTTTAGAAATTTGAAGGCTATAAATACCCTCTAAGGGTGAGCTTAGAAACATATTTCTCTCATTTGAGAATAAAATATTCTTTTTCTCTCTAGCTTTCTCTCTATTTTTCGCATACTTTTCTATTATGCTAAGTATGACTTTGGTCATGCTTAGCTAATTTTCTTTCAAGCCGAAGACTAAAAAGAAGGCTCAATTCCAAATGTGAGAATTGTAAGGTACTTAAATCGCTTCAGATTTTCTCTCTGTTTTCTGAGCTTACTTTTCAAATCAAAACGATTTGACATTGGTTCAGATATTATTATGGTTAACGTTTGAAGAAGGATTTGCTTATTGAAGCATATTCAACTTCCCGATAACACACTTAACAAAATTGTTTGCTAAGAGGAAACTGATATCAGAATCAGTTATTGTTGAAACGACGCAATCCGAGTTGGCAGCGAAAAATTGTTCTTGCGGTAACCAACGTGAATCTTGAAGTAAAAATCAGTTTCAATGATCTGAGGAATTTGAGATAAAGCTAAAGTCTGAGGCTGCTTTCATAATAAGTTTCTCTTTATCTCAATCTCTTTAATTTGTTTATTTAATTATTATTTTTATTTAATTCTTATCTTTTATTTTAAAAATAATTTTTAAAAATCCTCCTTTTATATTTATTACTATTAATATTTATTATTATATTATTTTTCCTTTATTATTATTATTATTCATTTTATTTTAATATATCTTTTCAACTTCATCTGGAATTCTATCTTCTTTTAAAATCAAGAAAGAGTTTTATTAAATCATAAAAACCGTAATCCATATGGATCGACTCTGCTTCTTTATACTATCTTTTTCTTTTTATTTATTAAGAAATCAAAAATTATTTTGATAGTAAAACCTAGATTATCGATAGTCTACCTTTTGAGCGTGTCAATGTGGTGTCCAGACAGGTTGACAGTTTACCTGTTGCAATGATTCTTGAAGGTACAAGGAGTGGAAATCTAGAAAGTTTAATGGTGATCGTTTCGATGAAGAGATAGCTGGAAATATTGGTGACCGAGAGGGGAGTGTTGGTGTTGTATATAATAGTGAAGATGGATCACGTGTGATGCCAGAGTTTTTGCCACATTACTGAATCGGAGCAAACCCGTTGGCTCCTGTGAATAATTCAGGTCAAGACCCGTTGGTTCTTGTGGATAATGTGGGTGTTCATTGATATTTTCTTGAAGAGGGTAGTGATCCAACTGATGATAGTAGTTTTCAACCAAGTGGGTTAAATGTTGTGGATGTTGTTCGGTCTGCTGGTCAAAACGTGCATCCCATGATCACACGTGGTAAAAATGGGATAAGAAACCCAAGGCGTTTTAAGTCACCTATACAGACCTTGAGCCTACCACTATAATGGAAGCATTTTTAAGTACGAGTTTTCGCGGTCGGATTAAATCGATTTTTAATTAAAAATTTATCCGATTCGAAAATATAAATGTTTGTGATTTGGGACGGTTTGAATGTTTCTAAAAAAATTCGATTCGATCCGATCCAATTAAGTGTGGCTTGATTCGCTTTGGATTTGTGCGGTTTTTAGATTCTAATTTTTCAAAATAATTCGTAAATTTTTTTCATTAAAAAAACAACATATGTATAACAAAAGCAAAGAGAATATATATTTTAACAAATGCAAACTTGTGAAGCTTACAATAGAGAATATATATTTTAACAAATGCAAGCTTGTAAAGTTTGTTCACATTAATAGTTCAGCAACAGTTTGTAGATAGAACCAATATTTTTCATCTTTGGACATAGATGAGTTTATTTCTTTCCCTTTTGTAAATTCAATATTGTCAATATGCAAAATTATAGCAACCACTCGAAATATTGCTTCGTAGACAGTGGTGGGGGACAAAATATCAAAGCATTGTAAGAGATTATCGGTTCGGTTCGGTTTGGATTGGTTCCGAATTTTCAAATCGAAATCAAACCGAACTGATCGGTTTAAAAACATCAAACACAAACACATTAAATCGGTTTTGGTTTTTTTTTGGTTATTGATTTTTTGGATCGGATTGAATCTGAACACCCTTATTTTTAAGTTCCCACTGGACTGCTGCTGCACAAGAAGAGTATGATGTTTTAGTTAAAAAGTGGACTTGGGACGATAGCGAGGTATAAAGCACGACTGGTAGTGAAAGGGTTTTTTCAACAGCCAGGTCTCGATTATCATGAAGCTTTTAGCCCAGTAGTGAAACCCGCCATTTTCGAGTTATTTGTCACTTGCACTTGCGAAAAGATGGGTTCTGAGGCAAGTTACATTAATAATGCTTTTTTAAATGGCCTCTTATCCGATGAAGTCTATATGACTTAGCCTCTAGGATACGAAAAAGGTGAAGGAAGCTTGGTTTACAAGCTGAACATGACCATCTTCGGGTTTAAGTAAGCTCCTTGAGCTTGGTTTGATAGGCTCATAACCGTAAAACATTTGTGTTAAAAGCTTATAAACGTTACACCCAAGTTGAAATATTGGGTACCTTTGATGTTTGCAGCTCTATAAAGGTTGGCTTGTAGATGGCTCAGTGGTGGTGGTAAAATGCTTGAAACTAAAGCAGAAGCATGCACCTCAAAATCTGATGCAACACATGGATGTTTTGTCAAAGCTAAGGCATCGCCATTTGGTTAGCGTTTGGGACACTGTAGTGTTACGAGGACCACCCCAACATTGCCAGTACAGTGTTCATTGTTTTCGAGCACATTTTAAACGGATCACTGCGGGAGTATCTTACCGGTAAAGCTTGACCCCTCGAATACTTTAGCCGGCACGATGAAAGCAGGTTAATGTTATGTCCTTGAAGAACGTAATTTACTTTTGATTTGATCTGGTAGATTGGAGAAAGAAGGAAATACTGAAATGGCCAGAGAATGGCAATCACCATTGGAGCTGCTAGAGGAGTCCAATTCTTGCACACAGGGATTTCACCTGGCATTTATGGAAACGATTTGAGGATTGATAATGTTCTGTTGGATGAGACTCTTACAGCCAAAATCAGTGATTACAACATCCCCTTGCCACTTAAGGTAATGTCTAATTTTTCAACATTGCATAACGTGCTCTAATTTTTCATGTGTTTCCTTATGAAATAGCAGACAGGTTCAGAAAGCCCCCTTGCCAGTCGTCTTAGCAGGTAATATCTTTCTCTCCCACCTTGTCGACTTCAATTTCCACTGAGGCAATGCTACGACTTGAAACTTAAAACCCTAAATCCTGCAGTGATGAGAATGGGGAGAAGGAAGACATTTATCAGCTGGGGATTCTTCTGCTACAAGTTATTACAGGGAAACTGGCAACATTCACAAGTGAGCTGGATGAGCTTAAACATCAGGTATGAAAAGTTGATTTGTTCTACTTCTCTCCTGGCACTATGAACCATTTGCAAATGCTCCCGTTACAGCTGGAAAAGAGCTTGGCTGAAGGACCATCAAAGTTGAGAAGTGTGATAGACCCCTCGATAAGGGGCACTTTCGCATACGACTCGATGAAAGCCACAGTCCAACTCGCCATCAATTGCCTGTCCAAAGATTCAACCAAACGCCCTTCCATAGAGGACGTTCTTTGGAATCTGCAATACTCGATCCAAGTTCAGGAAGGATGGAGCAGCAGTGGAAACCTTGCCACACATTTGTAATACTTCAGCAAACCATGAATTATAATCTTCTGTAACTTTACACCTGTTATATATATATATATATGCGTGCATTTCCAGCAGTATTTACACAAGATTCTTTGCCAAAATCAACATCATGACAAGTTCCTCACATGGCAACATGGTCCACCATCATTCCATCATTAAGGCTTTTTGCACCAAAATGAAAGTTTAAACTACCCATTGAACAAAAGAAACACGTGAAGATACGACAAATCATTTCAATAAAGGGAGCGTTATCCATCCTTATAAAACAAACCAACATGATAAATAGATTCTAAATAGTTTGCAACATATCTTTTCAGTGTCAATGTTATTTAGACATAAAGGGGCATCGAACTATTAATCCATGAGCGAGTGATCTGTCAATCAGCTGTCCAGCTCTGCTCAACAATCTCACGCACTCTCCTATTGTATTCACGCTTATTCTCACTAAACATACGAGCAGCTTCGGAATTTGCTGGAGAATTTGGATTCGGGTCACAAAGCAATGACTGCATATACAAAAATTATATCATTAGCAGCCAGCTTTTAAAGGCAAAACCAATGTTTCCGTATCAACATGAGGCAGATAGTAGTGGACTATGACGAGCTTGAATTAGAATCTTATTTATACTCGAAACTATGGTTCTCAGATAGCTGCAAATGAATGCTTGAGAACTGTACCATACCTGAATAGATGTCAGTATTGCAGCTACATCATAAATTGGACTCCACTGATTTTGTAGAATGTCCAAACAGATGCTTCCATCCGCATAAACTGAAAAATCGAAGGATAAAATGGGGATTACAACAAGATCAGCTACACTATAGCCTCACAAAGTTAACAAAACCGAAACCCAAGTTGAACATGCAACATGGTAATCAACATCACATTCAAATTATCTATTGGATATTTTAGCGGATGGATGGCACCTACGGCAGAAACAACTATAAAAAAAATGGATAGCTATTGGATATTTGAGCAGGGTTCTAGTCTTTCATAAATCACAAGTATTCAAACAATTAGGTCTACTTTTGAATAAGTATAGCCCCGATAAAAGATAACAGCTTGATGGGTGACACAACCATAAACACTACAGTCTCACGCTATATATCATTACAACTTTCATGGAAGAAAGGATAAGCTTATCTTACAGAAATTATTTACAAGTTAAAGCAACTGGTAAAAAATTTAAAACTGCAGGGCAAGAAAACATGAAAATATCAATATAGCTTCTTAAGAGTTGGATTTTTCTGGAGACTCACTGTTAGGATGGAACATTCGAGAGACAAAACGAACAGTTGGTGGCTTGTTTGGATAATCTTCCATAAATTGAAGTGTCAGTTTAAATGTACCTGAAGGATCGAAATATCAAGATAGAGAATATTCATAGTTCTTAGCAATATACCTACATCTATGATAAAATTATCCAAAGAAATAGCTCAGATGATCCTGAAAAACTAGTATTTCAAACTAAAATTTACAATAGAAATAAGCAAAACCATTAATCACAGTCATGGTTTGAAGGTTAAAATGCATTCGACAAAAGGGCAAAGGCCATTTTCTTAAGAGCATTCTTAAAATGATTTCAGGGTCATCAGGTTTCAAAATTTTCCTCAAGGTTTTAGTCCATCACAAGGTTGTTTAACATCACCTGCTTCATTATTTACATGAAAAATAACTCTAAGGGACAATTACCTATGCCACTCCTATCAAATAAATCTGACCTTCAGTATTTTACATGAAGTACCTGCTCATAAGATTCACAGAAACTCTGTTCTGTTTTTTAGGCCAAAACTTACCTCAATATGGGGGGAAATTCATCATTCACAAAACCATACAGAAAATGTAGATAAAAAAGGATAGGGGTAAAGCAAGTAACCTTTTACTGCATGGTAAATAGATAATATGAGTATGGGGCAGTAGAATTACTGGTGAATTGTGTCTAATTAGATCTTAACAATATATAATGCACATAACAATGTTCTAAAAAGAAAAGCAAACAAATACACCAAACAACTACATGAAAATCTGATACTTCAGAAAGAAAAATCCACCAGAATGTACTTTACCTCCATCCCATGGGGTGTCATCAGGCCTGCAAATCCATTAAGCAAAGTCGTTAACACAATGTTATTTAATCTTCCTATAAGAAAGAGCAAAAAATTCCACACCAAAAAAAAAAAAAAACCGACACTCCAGTCTTATTTTCCCACATACCCAAATATAACAGCATTCCAGAGCATAATATTGTTATCTTGAGGAGCACCACTAATTCCTGCAGGAGGATCTTGTTGCAGCCTCTTAAAATCCCTCATCAGTCTCTTCCTTGCTGGAGTCGACATCCTCACCGCCTGCAAATTTAAAGGAAGCCAACCCAAATCAATACAAACTTGGATATTGTCAAGAATAAAAGAAGCTAGAGTTCCTTAACATAAACATCAAACAGATTAGCCTAAAACCAGAGTTCAGGAACAATGCCGAGTTCTGTTAGAAGATTTGATTTGTAACTTTACAAGCAGATTGACAAACAAACTTCAATCTTCTACTTTGAGATGCAAGCAGAGATATAATCATGAAACACACAATAGGAGGCAACTATCTCCCACCATATAAACTCTAACTGTGATCCCGAATATTTGAACTAAACAATTCCAATTTGGAATTTCAAGCTCTAATCATCGAGAAAAGACAATTTGCAGACTCATCATATCGGAAAACAATATACTATAATTCTCCGGATACATTAAGCAACGAAGGGAGAGACCAAAGATGACATAAAGCAGACTTTTGCTTTTAAGTTTTGTTCTGGACACGGATTAAGCAGATCACAAACACTGAAAAATAAAATCAAAAATAAAGTTCATTCATTAAAATTATCAGATGAAACAAGCGTCTAAAAATATCTAAGAAAATCAAACCATAAAGAGTTAAAATCACCACGGATGGAGACACATCTAATTAATACCCAAAAGAAACCAATCCTAGATCCCCAAAACTTACATAACCCAAGATCCATAACCACAACAACGACGATAAAAATCTAATGCTCCAACCTATCTAACAATCAAATCCAGAGTTTCCCTCGGTTATATAATTAACAGACCTAATTCAAAGTAAGAGTTAAAGGAAGAAAGAAAATCCAATCAAAGAAACAGAAAACAACGACAAATAGAAGGGAAGACAGAAAAAGAGTATTACTTTCTGAGTAAACGCGGCGAGTTTACAAGGATCCTCCAAAAGAAAGCTTCAGAATCCAACGAGTTAACAAATTTTCCTTCCCAATAATTGCTGATTAAAAAATGGAAAATAATATCAGAGAAACGTTTATTTATTCGTTCCTTTTGATTAATTATACACCGAGTGATCCAAAGGAGAAGACTTTATTTTCTGAATATTTAATTTAATTTTCACTTTAACAGAGAAGACGACTACCATGGATTTGCTCTGGGTCACCGTTCCTTTATCCATACTTATCATTTTTTTATTTCTAGTTCTATTTACTAAAATAAATTCGAATAATTTGCGTTTTAACCCTTGGACATGAGCATATTTTCTATATTGGTATTTTTAATATTTTTGTCCTTTGGGACCCGTATTTATATCCTGTCACACATTTAATCTCAAAATTTTAGCACTGTTAATTTTCTAATGAGCTGGCAGTGTCAATCTCTTATAATTAAGTAAAATTATTTAGAAAGAAAGAAAAGAGAGAATACTATTTGGATACTTATTTCATAATTAAGTCTTAAAAATATATTTTTATTATTGCTATTTAAAATATATGTAAAATTATTTTTTTAAAATTAATGCGTGTCACCTTATAAGAGGTTAGTGTCACATCTTTTTTTTTTAAAATTAAAAGTGTTAAACATTTCGGTGTTAAGTGCATAACGGAATATAGGTATAGATACCAATATAGACAAAATAAATAAAGTACCAATATGAAAAATGCTCAAATTCAGGGGATCAAAAGGATATTTACCCCAATCAAAATTTTCTTATATATTGTTTGGGTGGGACAATGGTTGGCAACTTGCTGGCGAAACGACGCCACCATAAATATTCCCACGTGTCCTTTCTTTTCTTTTGAACAAAATAATAATAATAATAAGATACGTAGTTTAGATATATTTCTAGAATGTTTATTATTTCTGTAATGGTGAGAGGCATTGAATAAAGTTTTCAATGTCGACATAATGGAATACTATGGTCGGTCCAAAAATATATTCTTCTCTGTCCTATTTAAATTATTTTTTGTTGATTTTTATCAGAATTGTTCAAATGTGTCTCATTATTATTTAAGATTTGTTATTAATAAAAATATAAAAATATTATATGTTAAACACTCAATTAAGTAGTTTTGAAATATATATTTTTTAAATGTTTAAAATAATCATTGCCAAAATTTAAAAAAAATAACTTTAAAAAAATCAATAAAGGACAAATTTAGTGGGACGGAGGTAGTAATAAAATTTATGATTAGTAGTAAAATCCAAGGATGTATCGAGGGGGTCGATTGCCCCCTTGAAATTTTAAAATGATTATATATTTTAGATTTTTTTCTATGTATTTTCTATTGAAAATCTATTTTTACCTACTGAAATTTTATATGTTCAAGTTCGCTCCCATAAAAATTTAAAAGTTCAAGTTCCCTAGATAACATAAAACCATGCGCCCGTCACTAATAAAATATATTTAAACATTGATGAATCGAGGAGTGTTATGGTATAACATATTCTTTTAAAAAATTAAATTTTTATATAATTTAAGTATTTTTTTAATATTTTATTTAATAATTTAATTCTATATTTTTAAAATTTTATAATTTTAGCCTCTTTAAATTTCTAAGTTCACATCTTATAATAAAAAACTTTGTATTCATCCTTGTAAAACAATCAATTTCATTGGTAAAGAAATTAAGGTAACTCTATGTTTAGTACTTTAATTATCATTAAATATGGAGTCAAGATACCAACTCAAGGGGGAAAATATAATTAATCATGAAAAATAAGGGGACAAGATATAATTAACCATAGAATTGAACAGGACAACATCAAAATAAACTAAAATTAGAAGGTCTAATTTGATATTTACCCTTGTATATTTTTAAATTATAAAAAAATAGGGGGCGATGGCCCCTAAGACAAAGCTTAGCTTTGTTCCTAACTATCCTATTATTTGTTTTGGTCATTTAACTATTTAAAAAAAATCATATCTAACGTTTAGTTTTGATTTTCTTTTGGTCATCCACAATTAAAAAATTAACGATGATGTTGATGTCATGTCATCATTGAAAAAATAAAAATAACACGTTAGTAGTTCTATTAATTTTTTTAAAGGTGGTTGACTAAAATGTAAGTTTAGGAATCATTTTGAAAAAAATAATTGAGTGACCAAAACTAAACAAAAGTGATAGATAGGCTACTAAACATGTAGTTTACCCAAAAAAATACTATCAAGTATCTCTTTAGAATTTTCTTAACTAACTCACAACATACACGCACTATGCAGACGTAATTACTTGAACCTAAAATCTCTAAAAAATAATATTCTCTTTTACTACTAAATCCAATTATTGAATATATTACTAACCTTTTGTAAAAGATCTTATGTTTATTTGTGAAAATAAAATTATCTAATAATAGTTCATTTAGATAATCACATCTCTTATTATATTGATTAATAATCAAAAGATGATATTTTATTAATTAAAAGATGAATAGATTATATACCAATAGTTAAATAAAAAAAATAAAATTATTACTTTTAAATCTATCAGTCATACATATTATATTATGTTGGGATTTTTGTAGCTCTAATTAATGATCAACCGAAAAAGTATCAGAAAGGGGTAAATTGACCTATTTTGGGTGTGGAAGGAAAAGTATAGACAATTTTGAAACAATGATTTAGAGTAATTAAAATTTCTCAATGAAGTCTACACGTACTATCTTAACTTCACATTAAGGATTTCTAATAAATTCACTAATTTATTCTTTCTAACATTTACAAATCTCTATCTTTTCAAAAGTTAAGATAAAACCACACTTATTTTACAAATGATATAAAAATGTAAACACATAAACCCTAAATATAGGTATTTACAAGAAGTAAGCTCACAAGAACGAATCTTAAAGATTTTGTTGAACCATATTTTATAATATTTTGATATAAAAAATTAAGACAAAATGTTTTTGGACTTGAATTGAATTTGTTCAAAGTTTTCAAAAGTTTTAAAAATAATTCAAAGTCCATTAAACTATAAATTTGAGCACAAAACTGTTTTTCTGGTACGTAGTAACGATATTGTTCTTATAGTATCGATACTGCATAAACAGTACCGATACTATCCACGTGGTACCGATACCAAAGGTAAGAGAAATATCGATATTCTCAAGGTAGTATCGATACTATCAGTGTTTTTCAAATAGCTCAAATTCTAGAATGCAAAAAAGGTATCGATACTCAAAAGAGTATCGATACTACTTTATAAAGTAGTATCGATATTAGTCAAGCCCAACGGTTAGTAACATATATTTTATTTAAATATTATAAAGGAAATATCGATACTCATTAAAGAAGTACTGATACTCCCTGTCCTGGACAGTTTTATTTTACAGAAAAATGATCCCCAAATGCTAAAAACAGCCACAAGCTTATTCGAACATTTAAAAATAAGTTGAGGACACTTAAAGAAGGGTTAGAACACCTATCCAAGAAATCAAACACAAGAGAAGAACTTTTTATTCCTATTTTCCTTTCTCTTATAAATATTAGTGTTTAGTGAGCCTAATCTTTGTAAACACCTACCTTAGAGATATTTTTTTGTTTACATTTTTTTGTAAAAAGGGTTTGGTTCTAGCTTAGCCTGTGAAAAGCTAGGGAGTGTAAAGGCTATCGCTTTGCCTGGAAAAGAAAGAACAAATTAGTGAATTTTTTGGAAAATCATTAGTGAGGAGCTAAGGTAGTGGATGTAGACTTGGTTGAGAAGTAGAACTACTATAAATCCTTGTTCAAATTGAATATCTTTTTATACTCCTTATTCTCTCAACTCAAAAACCAATTCACCCCCTATTGGCACATTTTCAGTTGTTCATTTAAGTTTCTTCAATCTTAATAATTGGTATCAGAGCTTGACTCATTAGAAGTTCTAACAACCTTGAGACGATCCTAGAAGAAGCTATATTCATTTTAACACTACCGAGAAGATGGCTTCCACCTCCGGCTTGTTCCACATGGAAGACTCACAACCGATCGACAAGCCTCCATACTTTAATGGAGCCAACTACAATCATTGGAAGAAATTAATGAAGTTATTCATCCAATTTAATGATCTTGATGCATGGGAGATGATTGGGAACAACAACTATTCTCCATAAAAGAAGATGAAAGAGTGGAATGCCCAAGAACGGAAGATAACCCAACAAAATGCTAAGGCCATGAACATGTTGTTTTGTACATTTGGTCCCGATGTCTATGAAAGAGTTTCTTTTCGTTCAAATGCCAAGGAGCTTTGGAATAAGCTCGAGGAACTTCATGGTGACAAGAAAGAAGAACCAGTAAATGTATTATGTTTAATAGCTCTTGAAGAGCCCGAGGTATTTTCAAACTTTAGTGAATCTAATTTATATTCTTTTAAAGAGTTACAAGATGATTACGATGAGTTGTATTTGGAATTTGAGACCATGAATTCCAAATATAAAAAAATAATTTCAAAATTTAAAGTTGAAAATGATTTGATTTTGAAAGAAAAAGTTGATTTTGAAAAACAAAATGAAACTTTGAAAATGATTTAGAGCTTTCAAAAATCAAAATCAATGATTTAGAAAAAAAATTGATTTGAAAGTTAAGCTTGATAACTTAACAAAAGAAAAAGAATTAATTTCTAGAAACAACTAATTATGTTTAAAAATGGAAAAATGCTCACATTGCTATTTTCATGGTCATTTGGAACATACTTGTCCTTTAAAGAAAGGAAAACGTTTTAAAATTAAACAAGTATGGGTTCCAAAAGGAACAAGGGGCATTGAAACTAATGTTTAAGGATGCAAAGCAATTTAGATACCAAAAGCTAAATGAATGTCTCTTGTAGAAGTGTGGGAGCAATGGTGATGAAAGTGAAGATACTCAAATGCTCTAGCCACACTTGATATGGAATGGGTAACCTCTAAGCTTAATGTTTTTTGTTTTGATTAATTGGTTGACTATTTGTTTTAAGCATGCATGGTTTTGATTTTAAATAATTCTATGTTTTCTATCTCATATATGTTAAAAAGTGTTGTGATGAATATTTTATAAAGTTTTAATGATTTTTCATAAATGTTTGTTCATCATAATGAATTTAAATTGGTTTTAATACTTTGATTTTACAAATTTTAATT